CAGGCTCTGCTCCCCTAAAATAGGCCCAATACCCATCAGAGATGATCTCCAAGTGGTGATCAGCTGTGTTTGCATAACACAGTGCCCTTCTATAATGTTGGTACTCCTGAGAACTATTTATAAATGGACCGGACTTTCAAATTACTTTGACAACCGTGGAGGGTACAGCACTTCTGCAGCAATTCTGCTGCACCACACCTCTGTCCACAGTCACAGTATCATAGAATCATAGAATTACTCAGGTTGGATGGGACCTCAAGGATCATCAAGTCCAACTGCAGCCTAACCATAGTACCCTAACTCTAACAATTCTCTGCTAAATCATATCTCCGAGCACCACATTCAAACCGCTCTTAAACATATCCAGGGACAGTGATTCAACCACCTCCCTTGGGAGCCTATTCCAGTGTTTAACCATCCTTTATGTAAAGAAGTGTTTCCTAATGTCCAACCTAAACTTACCTTGGCGCAACTTGAGGCCATTTCCCCTCATCTTGTCACCTGTCACCAGTGAGAAGAGACCAGCCCCGCTCACACTGTAAGCACCTTTCAGGTACTGGAAGAGAGTAATAGATCTTCCCTCAGCTGCCTCTTCCCCAGACTAAACAGCCCCACCTCCCTCAGCCTCTCCCCATAGGGCTGATTTTCCAGGCCCTTCACTAGCCTCATTGCCCTTCTCTGGACCTGCTCCAGCACCTCCATGTCCCTTCTGTACTGAGGTGCCCAAAACTGAACATGATGCTTGAGGTGAGGCCTCACCAGTGCAGAGTACAGGGGCAGGATGACTTCCCTAGTCCTGCTCACCACACCATTCCTGATACAAGCCAGGATGCCATTAGCCTTCTTAGCCACCAGGACACACTGCTGACTCATGTTCAGCCAACTGTCCATCAGTACACCAAGGTCCCTTTCCATCAGGCAGCTTTCCAGCCACACCTCCCCAAGCCTGTAGGGTTGCCTGGGGTTATTGTGACCAAAATGCAGAACCCGACACTTGGACCTATTGAAACCCATGCCGTTAACATTGGCCCATTGATCCAGTCTGTCCAGGTACCTCTACAGTGCCTTTCTCTCCTCTGGCAGATCAACACTTCCTCCCAGCTTGGTGTCATCTGCAAACTTACTGAGGGTGCACTCAATTCCCTCATCAAGATCATCTATGAAGATGTTAAACAGAAGAGACTCCAGTACTGAGCCTTGGGGGACACCGCTCGTGACCGGCCGCCAACTAGATCCAACTCTATTGACCACAACTCTTTGGGCCTGGCCATCCAGCCAGTTCTTCACCCAGCGGAGTGTACACCCATTCAGACCATGGTCAGCAAGCTTCTCCATGAGAATGTTATGGGGGACAGTGTCAAAGGCCTTACTTAAGTCCAGGTAGACCCCACATTGACAGCCTGACCCTCATCCACTAAGTGGGCCACCTTGTCATAGAATGGAATCAGGTTTGTCAGAAAGGATCTACCATTCATAAACCCATGCTGACTGGGCCTGATCCCCTTGTTGACCTTTAATTGGTCCATGATGGTTCCCGAGATTATTATATATAGTATAATCAAATTATTCAGACGCTTCTCAAGTGTGAAAGATCTCAAAGCATGTGAGCTCGTGGCACTACTCATAAGAGAGCGCAGTTTTATAAAGTATGAATATATTTCTTCCCTCTAATTAATTAAACCAGATTCCTCACTATTTGATTCTAATCTTTTGATTAATCAGTGTTAAAAATACAGGTGTTCAAGGGCATGCATCCTCTGAAAAAAATGCTAGAAAAAGTCCTCTTCAAAATGGCTGTAAGTTAATAATATGTATGCATATGTATACAACATACATTCATTTATACATACACATAATTTAAAAATCCATGGATATAATAGATAGAACTGGGGAAGAGAAGACAACGCTATGTTATTGAGCACATTTTCAAAGGAGCACGCGTGATTTAGAAGACCAAAAACTAACTAATGACACAAAGAATCTCTACTGAGCCATCTTTAAAAACATCAACTTTTGAAAACTTGCCCATAAGATTTCATGGTACGAATTCTTCAGATGAGACAAGGACAATACTGTGATGTAGATACATTTCTGGATGGGGATTGCTTCTATAAATATTAGTTTCCAGGTGCTACAGAGCATCTAATTTTAGAGAAAGAGGTCATCTATATAGACCCAGAATGGCCGTTTGTAAACGGACACATGATGGTACCCAACATCAGTTGTACCTTTGCCTCCTTCTGAGTACCTGTTCTCTACAACACCAAGACACTGGAAGGGCCTTCTGCCTGCCTGACAGTGTGCCTCATACATAAAACATTGACCAAGAATGAGGATATTTTATTTCCATTCCTAAATCTGAAACTGACCTAACGGATAACTTTAAGTGAATCATTTTACAACCGTAATTCTGGTGTCTCAATCAATATGTACTGCAAGTTCTAATGATATGATCTCCTTTACAGACTGACACTGGAAACTGCCTTGGGGTTAAATGTGATTATTTATTAATTTTACTGAAGCCAATTGATTTTACAGGGAATATTTCACACCTGACTATACAAGCCGTCTACACAAGTTCATTTTCACACAAGCCCCTTTCGATACTGTCCAAACATAACCAACCCTCGCAGTTAATTTTACTTCTTTTATGTTAATAATTTAACATGAGAAGCTTAAAATACCAGGAATGTTTTTCTTATTGTTATTTTTATTAACTACTAATTTACGGTTCTTTTATGGATAATAGAAAAGGGAACTAACAGGATGTCTCAGTAGCAGCTTAAAAAATACTTTAAAATGTTAGCTTGTGAAGCATTAAAATATATACATAGACATATAGTTTCTCAACAAGTAGAAAGAGTCTTAGGATTATGGCAAAGAACACTACTACTCGTATTTTGAATAAGAATGTCTATTTCACCAGGAGAGTAACATTTACGTAACTATCAGTTATCCAATACAGGCCCATCTAAGTCCGGCTATACACCGCCAGGCTCAGCAAATACCTTGAAAATGAGCCAACAAGAGAGAAGGAATTGCACTCACTTTTAATGCTACAAAGGACATTATTATTCATAGTCTAGTAACTTTATGGCAAGCATAAACCTCTTGGAGGAAGGAAGAGTAACATATCTTAACATCATTTTCATTGGAATAATTTCAATTCCAACACGACTGAAAAATAAGAGCATATGAGATTTTTTTTTTAAATGACTAAATTAATGACAAAACGCAGAGAATATACATGACTAAAATGACTGTCTTGACAGAAAGCCACAGAGCAACTCTGAAAGAGACTTTCACGACATAATCAAGGCCACCTAGTTATCCTAATAATTCTTTGAGCACAGTGCTATATTTCACAGTTCAGGATTTTGGAACCTAACTGCTCACCAACCCTTTGAACTAATGTTATCTTCATTTTACAATGATTAGAGAGAGGTACAGAGATGAGAAAGGCACTGCTGTCTAAATTGATTCCTGATTCCGAGTGTGCTGAGTGCTGCTCCACCTAATTTAAGGGAGTGCTGAGAATCTGAATCTCTTTCTGAACCAAAGAGGAGATCTGCAAGTGGTGCAGCTGCCAAAATGCAAGACTTACTGTAAAATCTATGATCTTCCTGAGCTATTAAGAGAAATCTCAGTGTTCTGATCCCAGCTCCTTTCCCAACCACCGTCAGGGAGTTCCAAACTCCAGAACAGAGACCTCACAACTGCAGTTTGCAGTTGGTAGTATTTCATCAATAAACTGCAATTGGCTCATAGTTCTAAGGCTATTTTACGCTACGTTACAGTGATCTGAATATTGCTTTTAGTAATAGTAATATTGCAGTGATCGGATATTACTTTTTCATTCACTTTAAGGCTATTTTTGATTGCCTGATTGGAATAAAAAGACCTGAATGTAACTGAGAAGTAGATACCAGGGTTTCACCTCAGCAGGGACTAACCCCTCCAACCATGAATCTACACACTGGGATATTCATATATCTAAGAATCATGAACATTAATGCTTGCCAGTAAGAGCAAAGTGGGAGACGGGTCCAGGACATTTGGATACTCATTCCATGCCTGCTCAAATACTGTTACATAACCAGGTAAGCTACAGCAAAGTCCATATAGAGAATAAAAGGTGTTTTTTTTTTTCCCCCCCTTTGCACTTTAAGCTGATGGTACTTGAGACCCCAGCTGTTATGGAATTTGTGAAGTTTCATTGTGGACTGGGTCATTCAGTCAAATGTGCATATTCAAGCATATAGCATAAACTTTCCATTTCTGCCACAGGTTGGTGACTCATCAACAAGCTGTTGTTGCTCCAGTGACTGATATCTCTTGAACAATTCAAACATTGTCTTTTGAGTAGGATAATATGTGGCTAGATTGAGTTTCCTGAATGCACTGTGAGAACTTGGGAGCCAGATTCATACTGAGAATACGTAAGGTCTATGCCCTAAAATCTTCACATCTTTTCAGAAAGTCCCCATACCGTGTACCTTTTAATAACTAATGACATTACACCTGGTGTTCTTGACTGTGAACCTAGAAGATCTAGACATTCTCTGGCTTTAATATTCATAGATACTGGCCATATTCCATTGAAATAATGCAATAAAGAGAAATAAACAAGGAAAGAAAGAATGCAAAAGATAAAACGATAACACATTTCTGCACCAAGTGTTGATGTACAGTCATGGAATTTCTCATTCCCTTATCTTGGAGATCTAATGGATGTCATTGTGGAATAAATGGCAGGGAATTGCCATTGTACAGTCTTGCCAAATGGGAGTCAAAGCACATTTTAAGCCCCAACAACGTGATTATTCAAAGACCAATTAGGTAAGTGTAGCATTGAATGCCAAATAAAACGACATAAACAAGACTGATGGCTATTTGCGTGAGCTGAATACCACAACGCTGATAAAGTTGCAGATAGCATTCTCCCCAAAAAAACATGGTTCACACAGGTCTCACTATGGTAGCAAATCAAGAGTACTTACCATTCTTGGAAAGAATCACAGCCAAATATTCATGAAAGTAGGTGTTGACGTACAGCAGAAGGCTTGGAGCATGTGCCGTAAGAAAGCTAAATGCAATATTTTCCTTGGACATGATGGCATCCGCATAAATGGCAGAACTTGAAGTGCTTGCGTTTTTTGTGACAGGATAAGGTTCTTGGAAAATATAGGTAATAGAAGTGCCAGCTTCAAATAAAGCAGAAACCTCTGAAAGAATATATAAACCAAAGGAACAGTTTCAGCTACTGCATTTTCAGACATTTCAGACAGGTATGCACACAAACTGGCCGCCTCAGAAAGAGAACACTGCGAAATGCTTTTGACCTGGCTGATATAACATTCCTTGATTTGGATGAGCAGAAAGCCCTTCCTCACAGACTGTATGTTTGACACAGAGAAAGGGAATATATACAGGCAAGCATATATATTCAACTATTATAGTGCTTGAATCATTGCAACATTGCACTACAAACAGTCCAAAGAGTTTGTTAGTCAAATAAATTGTTAGTTTTACCATCCTCTGACTGTTAATTTGTTAGGCAATATTCTCTATCTTCCCCCCACAGAAAAGACAACAACATAATTGTCCTTTCTGGTCTTCTTTTTAAGCAAAATAATCATTAAAGCAACACATTAATTCAAAGAAAGTCACTGAGGGAGAGCAGCAGCTCCAAGAGAAACAAGAGAAACAAGAGAAACAAGAGAAACATTAGATGCTCAGAACACAAGAACTCATATTGTGTTTTCATGATGCACAACGTAATTCGGCCACAAAACACATGCAAGTTACAACAGCTGTTTTCCAGTAAAGCAGATCTACCCTCTACAGCAGCATCTCCTAACAGGATACTACACGGTTATTTGCAATGCCTCTCGTGACACTGGTGTCAAATCTTCAGCTCATGGAAGTGGGCACAGTTCCATGGACTTCAGTATAACTAAGCCAATTTACACTAGCAGATGATGTGATCCACTTAGTCAACCTGTCACACTTGTAAGATGAGGGACAGTCATGGAAATTAAAATACTAGCATTGCAATTTGCTGCTATTAAGCAAAGGGATTTTGGTGGTTTCTTCTTTTCTCCAAGAGCATGCTATCAAAATTGGATGCTCTTTATTTGCCCCACTCCTTTTTCAGGTGTTGGCAATGTCTTTTAAAAGCCAGCAAACAGGTTCAGTGTGGAGAAGATCCTCAGAAAGCGAACCGTACAAATCAGTTTCTTTCCTGAACTGGATTTATTTTTGATAATTCTTCTCGTGGCCAAGTTTAGATGGATTGAGACAGGGATCACGACAAATGTAAAAAGACTCCCCCTTTTTGTCACACCATTGCTTAAATCTCTGTAAAGATCTCATTTTCTTAAGGTGGACAAAATCAGATGAAGTTTAAAATCAAGCAAATGAAACATTCAGACACAGGCAGAGAACTGTCAGTGAAACTTTCAGCTCTGTCTGTAAATGTCTGGACCATGTTATATGCAACTGAATAGAGGAATCATAGTGTGATACTGTTGATAATTTAAATAACAGTAAAACTAGCATTATTGTAATTTCTGAGTACTGAAGTCATCAAGTGGAGGAATTCAAGTCCACTTAACGCAAACACTTAATGCTCAAGGGAAAGCTCATATTAGAACATCCCCTCGTAGTACAGTGGACAACAAGCTGATGATATTGTGTTACAGACATTCAGAAACCACTAAAGACTTCAAATCAAAGCTCTTTGCCTACCTTCTTTGCAGAAGGGCCCTTCGTAGGCTGAGCCGGTGCAATCACAAGAATACCCATTGTACTTCTCCACGCATTTTCCTCCATTATGGCATAGATTACCATAACTACTGCAGTGCCCCGGACATCCAGGTTTAACACCAGGAGTCATTTTAGCTCTTTCTTCAAGGTCAAGTTTCTGTCCATTTAAGTGAAGAGATCGAATGCATCCCAAAAAGCCCTTTTGTCTGGAAGCTGTTCCTCCTGAAACAGAGAAGAAAAAAATCAAATGCATTCATTGAACAGTCCACAAAATAATCAAAGCCCTGAAGATACAAATACAGAGGTACAAACAGGAATCCATAGAACTTTAAAATATTACCTATTATGTATCAATGCACATTGTAGCAAAAGATGGATGTATAGACAGCCCAGGAAACTAAGAATCTCTTCCTTTAAGAAAGGACTAAAGCTGTGTTTGAGGTTCCAGTTGCCATTCTTTTCTGCCTTATCTACCATCCTGTTAGGTATTTAAAATGCAAATTCATTTGGTAAAACCCTTCTTTATCATATGCCTGCATATCATCTAATACATGAGGAATCCCAAACTATTTTTTTTTATTTCTTGCCAGAGTACAAATAACACCCTAATTCCAACAGCAGATGAGTTACACATGCTGATGAGTCCAGATAGCACAGATGAATTGTGTTCAATACCAGGTTTGCTGGATGAAGGGAAATGACTTTAGAGACAGAATTTATGCATGACTGATCAACCCGATGTTGCACGTGAATGTTTGTTGTAGGCAAGAAATGTGACTTTGGGTTACAGTTGCAATTTATTACAACCGTGAAACACAACTGCATCTCCTAATGAAGAATAAAGATGTATGGATTCCAGCAAGAGCACGGTCTAGTCTCGACAGGCTACGTTCTTATCAACTCACTGCAATTGCTAACAGTGAAAACAGTTTTGCCTTAAGAGATGGTCTCTCACAGAGATTATAATTACTGATGATAGACTGTGAAAATATCAACATCTTTAATATTGTAGGCTTTGTTTGGTGGTTGCCAATGCTTTACTTCTGAATTCACTGCAATTTTGATTGCCACTACGAAATCAAACTCTGGTCAAAGAGTTAATAGCACTTGTAGTTCTGAAATGCTAGTTTTTTTGGTGATGCACCAGTAAATAAGTAAAGAATATGAAAAGTTATCTTTCCAAATTTTTCTTCTATAGAAGTTTGTTCTATATCAAAATGCATGAGATCTTTTGATGAGTCCTTACAGAAGAGCATCTGTTCTCTCATAAATTGTTTAATTAAAGCCAGACTTCTGAGAACGATGAGAATGAAATAGCAGTCTGAAAAGCAATCTCACCAAAACCCTATTGTTCTGCCATATTATTCTGACATATTTTTCTATCTGTTACGCTAATAGCTGAAATACTGGATCTGAATTAGAATAACTAAATTCTAGATGTGTGAATGTGTGAGAGACTTACTTTACACTAAGTTTATGGTACCCTTCACGGTGAAACAAATATGTTCACAATCTCCTTTTGCCGATTACTCTCTCCAGACAAACAAATGTTAGCTCACTTATATTCAGGCCCCCTGAAGATAACAACTGGGCCTTCTGCATTTGCTGCATTGTGCACACCTGACCCTTATTGTTGGAGACTTTGTTTCAAAACCAAACACATCACACAAAATTTTTAGTAATGCCCTTGTAAAAAGGAAGGATTTTAGCCTTTCCGTTCAGATCGAGTCTTGTGCCAAACTGGCCTACCGCTGCACATAGTTTGGTCAAGCTGACATATAGCCTGTAAATTTGTTTGGGATTTGCTCTCTGTATGGTGATTTTTAAAATTTAACTGAAGAAATATAACCAGGTGCAAGGATATCCAACCTGTTGCTGTGGATTAGCAGTATGAAGCAGTTAAATTCCAAATAATCTCTGAAAAAAAGTGAGAAATGGGTTTCCAGCTCCTTTAGATTGCTTTAACATTTCAACTTGTTTGATTTTAAGTAATCCTCAACATACTGCAATGAAAATTCATTTCTCCTTTCGCTATGCACGCACACAGAATTCTATCTCAGAAGTCTTTCACATACTCAAAGTGTGCCAGTGCTAGCCTTAAGCAGACTGTTTTTATTCTAAATTATTTTAACGAGAGCAGCCATAGAAAAAAAGCTTTCTAGATAAATACACAAGTGCCTTGAGAATTAACTGCACAATAAATAAGTTAATTGTACATATTTTGTTGAATCTACTCTTAATGACTATGCATAACTGTTTTCCTTTAACTGAGAGAAATTGTATTTTAATATACTCAAACTGTACATAATATAGTCCGACTTTTATAGGAAGTGATGGAATAAAAAAAACAATTGTGAATTTGAACCTAGTCATATTGTGTTGCTAAGGGTGAAAGGGAGTTAAAAGAGAGAGATTAGATTTGTACTGTTCTATTTCGAGTCCAGGTAAGTCCAGAAAGGAAGAGCCCATTTTCTGTGGTTTATTTTGAATAACATGTGAAAGAAATCATTGTTGCAGTGGAATTACAGTAATGTCAGGCACTGATGATTTCTTGCACACAGCATGTGGCATGCTGACATGCTCAGCTGGAGCAAATGCTTAGGTTCTGCTCCCCTAAGGGGGAACACATCCCCAAGACAGATATGCAGGGAAGATGGCAAAATGCAAAATAGTCAAGAACACTGATGTAAGTCCATATCTGAGTAATGAACAGTGTCAGGACAGACCTAGATGGAGAACAGATGGTATGAAAAGAAGTGATTCTAGCATTTCTGCAAAACAGAGTAGTATGAGCGTATGAATCTGAAACAGCTCTATCAATTCCTTTCATACAGTACTAATCTATGTGAGAGGCCTTGGGTAAACAAAAATCACGTGAGTGCATCTTTCCAGGCAGTGTAAAATTGGTGTGAACTTCTCAACCTGCAGTGTTGTATAAGCTCTAAAATAGAAATATCTGTGGCTGCATTAGCATGCAAATAACGAGTTATGGCTACTTTGTGGAACTCAAGGCCTTTAGGTGAGCGAGGAAAGTTTCTAGCAGGCAGCACTGTGAATCTAAGATATGCGACGTCAGTTCTATATCAATAAGATATGAGTAACATTCAGAGCTACACCATCAAATTGCAGATTAGGAATATTAAACACAACAATGGTTATACAGAAGTACACAAGAGCAAGCTGAAAATTGACTTGTAGCCTAGCAGTGTCCCAGGCAGGCAGAAGTTGAAGAACAAGCACAACTCAAAATTAGCATAGACACAAATCAGTGAAATTCCTAGATTCAGCCTGTAGTCTCTAGGGATCTGAATTTCTCTGCTAGAGCAATCACAATGTAGCAACGCTGAACTCACTGTCTGAATACAGTTAGCATCCCTCTGAGACAACTGAAGCTCACATTTTTCAGTGTTCAGGACACATCTTTGCATTAACTCACAATCAGTATTTTCTCCATCCAGGACTGAACACTTATTGTGATTTGAATTTTTTTAATTTAGTTTCTTACTTACATACATGTGGTTTATTTTTATCTCTGAATCCAGTCTTTTTAAATTCCTTTTCCAAATTTAATGGAGAGAATATAATGTTCTCCCATAATTCACAAAAACTAGTAGCAAGGCAAATAAGAAACAGCATTACAATCTCCGTTCAGTAAGACTAAAATGTGATTTCAGCCCTTACTAGACATAAAAGAGCCTAACACATATAAAAGAGAAATCTTTTTATGTGCTTAGTTGTTGGAAAATCTTCAGCAAACCCTAAATCTCCCAAAGTTGGTCAATCTCAACATACACTTCCAAGGAAAGCCAGGCCTTCTTAACTCCAATCCTTAGGAAATATTTAAAGGCCAATTAACTTGCTCAGAACTTTAGTATCATTGAATCAGAAGTAAATGAAGCATACCTCCAAGGCTGCCTATAATTGACAGCTTTTTTTAAGATTTCCGGAGAAGGCTTCTATTCAACTTTCTTCACAATAAATTACAGAAAGTGTGAAAGTTGGCTTGCTCTTCAGGCCAACTTTAAAACAAAATAAAACCACCATGAACACAAAACGCAAGGAGCAAAATCATTCAGTTAGACATGATCTTAAAGGTGTTTGATTCTTGGGTTAAGATAAAAAATCTGAGCAAAATGAACTAAACAGCTTGGTCAGGAGACAGGTAGAAATGCTTGATGAGGAATTAGCTGATCCAGATTAGCAGAACTCATTTAAATTTTTTATTAGATGCCAGTTGCCCCCATAGTCAAATTTTACAAAAGTCCAAATTTATCTCACACATGAGATCTACTGTATATGACTTCCCCAAATGAATAGAGACAAAACTGACACACGTATACTGTACATACGCCGATGGCTCTCAAGTAATGTGAAAATGACCATAGTTTGAACGCTACAGTGAGTCTCCATTCAATCATCATCATAATGCTACATGATACTAATATAGTTCCTTCACTCAAAGGATCAATAAATCCTTCCAAAAGATAAATAAACTGAATTAATTCTTGACACTGAGCTTTATTTATGAGATTTATAAAATGTATGAATTGATTCTGAAGAAGAATCAAGAAAAAAAAGGAGGTTATATCTTAATGAGTAGCTAACTCTACTATGGAAACAAGGAGATTAAAGTATATTTGAAACATTTTTAAGATAGCAAAACAAGTCAGATTATTAATTAAGAATGTGCATATTGATTGTGGAAACTCCTTAATCACTCTCAGTATGCATAATGCTGCAAAAACAAATGTTGTTATGGGGACTTAAGAGGGGGAGAGAAGAATAATATTATGTGTTGCTGCTTCTGTCCTTTTAAATAGAATCAATGTTGTTTATGTATTTATTTTTCAGATCGGATAAAATTCTGTTGCTGTGGTTCAGGTATTAAATCAGTTGCTTTCTATTAGAGACTGGAATGAGACCTTCAGTAGAGACAAATGACTCCACATCTGTACACTGTTGGACTTCTGCCACCTTTCCCTGAAGGACCCGGGGACAATGTTAGAATGAAAAGACTGTTCAGGTTTCCATCTCTTCTGTTCACGCTTAGAAAAACTCAGATGGTTACAGACAGTTTTGACCTCCATTAAGGCTTTCTGTGGTAGATTTAAGGGCCAACATTTAACTCTTAAAAGCATCAGTTTTTACTGAACCTTTTGTTCAGAGTTCAGTAAAAGTGTGGATGGATAACAGCAATCAAATTACTGCGCAGTGAAAAGTTTTCATCCCTCAGCTGAGAATAACTATGACCGAGTTTATTGTAAAGTTTTTTTTTAATATTAAGTAAAATCAGGGAAAATAGGTTGGGATGGAAGTCACTGCTGGAAATCAACTAGTCCAACCTCTTCTTCAAAACCCAGCTACATTCACTGTTAGATCATGTTTGCTCAGGGCCTCTTCCAAGAAACTTTTGATTGTTTCTGAGAATGGAGATCCCACAGTCTCTCTGCTTCAGTGCTGCACTGCTCTCATTGTGAAGATCACTATTTTCCTTCCTTTGCTGCAGCCTGTGGGCTACATCTTTGTTCATTGGTCCAGTCTGTGGTCAGTCTTCACCTCTGCAAGGGCACACTTTAAAATTCACGTAATTACCAGGACCAAAAGGACCTTTTTTGGACAGTGGCTACCCATCCAATCAATCCCCAGCTTGTTTGGATGAATGACACTTTTGCTCCAGGTACAGGGCTTTGCATTTGTCTTTGCTGATAAAAGTTTCTGTTGGCACAATTCTCAAATTTTGGGGGTCCTTAACTACCCCAGATTTCCATGATGCAATTCAATTATTACACCACATTAAAGTCACTGTGAAGTTGGTTCAAGTAATCTGTTCATTTTGCAGAGAAGAAAGCTTATAGGCAGATACTGCTTTCCAGATGTGAGATAGGAAGCAGCTAGGTCACATTTTGATAATGACATATGATAATACCTTCACTTTTACTTCTTTACAAAGAAGTAGACTAAAATTTTGCAAAACTCTGTCCACACAATAAATACTCCTATGTCTTCTATTTGCAAATAGTACCTTGGTTAAATTTCTCTGGTGTTTCTAAGGTGTTTAGCTTTTCATCCTTACTGTTTCCAGACTTTGCCTCTCACTTGAAAGCAGAAACATTGCTCTGTGAGTCTAAATGGAAAATAAGTGAGTTCTTCAGCCAAGTTTTATCAGAGAACATTTGAACTAACTGCTATGAGGGAAAGCCATTGATGTAACTGCATATATATTTATTAACAAACTCTTTCCTTTTGTTCATAGCCCAGAAATGATTGCACGTGTAGGCTATAGTTAACTTAAATGCCTCAAAATCTTCTTAATTCAAAGGATGTGGATACGCAGGTAAATTTCATTAAAACTAATTGGTAGATTGACACTTAATATAGCATTTCAGTCAAATATGAGAATCTGTTTTAAGGAAAGAATCTGTAATTATCTGCACGGCTCTGAATAAGAAATGGGCTACAACCCACTCCCACCACAGTGCAAACTACTCAGAAAAGTAGTGTTTGGATATTTAAAAAGAAGACCCTTTGCAATCTCACAGTAACCTACTTGAATGCATGCCTTTTACGTTTCATCACAAAAGATGGATCACATTTCCTACAGTAAATTACACAATCAGTAATGTAGAAGAGGAAAGAGTGAATTCTTTGGCAAGTGCTAAGTGTAGGTAGTAGCTTGGGTTTGCTTTATGTAGTCTGTGCTGGAGGGAAAGAGGAGGCAGTAGAATTAGTTCACCACACCCGAGCTCAGCTACAAAATAGCAGCATTACCAAAGTATGAACATAGAAATATTGCATACACCTGCTGAAGCTCTTAAATGGCTCGTACCTACAAATAATTGGCTGTTGAGCTGCAACCGAAAGTGCCCCTCTGCAGGTGCCTCCAGGACCTTCTCAGGGAGGTTGTCCACCTGGAGACTGGTTTGCTTGAGGTTCCGCTCTGCTCGGACATAGTGCCACTGATTGTCATTCAGGGGTGTGGGAGACTGCACGGTTGCTTCTGTGGGGCCATTTCCAACATCTATGGAGAAGGTGATCTCTTTGGGGGCTGGAGTAGACAAACAGAGACAAAGAGAAAGTGACGGTCTGAATTAAATAGTGCTTTTGACTTCAAGAAATCCTACATAAATATAGGGTCCATTAGCTTTTATCGTTATTTACCTCCCACGTCTTACCCAGCAGCTTATATGTAAATGTGAATCTGCGGCCTCACTGTGTGATCTCTGTTGTAACAAAGCTTGGCTGCAGATATCCTTTTTTTTTTTTTTTTTTTTAAAAACAGAAAAATCATGCTGCACTACAAATTGTAATTTGTTCTCTTTTGGAAGTAAAAATGTCAAATTCTCTACTAAGGTCACAAAAAGTATTTGAACAAATAATGCTAATACGGTGGAAAGGATGAAGGAGGAGCTCTTTTTGACTAAATATTCAAAATACATGTACTTAACAAGAACAAAATGTGGTTCTATACGGTAAGAAGAGAACCTCAAGCATTTGTTTGCACAAATCAGCCTGACTCAAGGAGCAGGGATGTACAGATTAAAAAATCACTAATTGGTGTCCAGAGATAGCAAGGATCCTAGAAACACAGTGGTAACACGAAAAATAACAGTCATAAGAAGGAGTGTTATCTCACTCTGCTGCAAGCCACCTGAATGGGTGCCAGAACTCTTTAGCATTCTTGTTCTATTATTTTTCCCTCTTCCTATAATGCTGAAGACATCAGAAAGAATAAGAATAAGGTCCACAGACCGCACAACAATCACAAGGTTGAGGATCGAAAATTCATAAAAACCTGTTATTTCAAGCCCCACAAATTGGATAGGGCTGGTTTTGGAAGCCACTTCTTAGACACTTAAGTTAGGAAACACTCCATAGGGATAGACAAAGATCTATTCTGAGCCCCTGCATCTGCTAAAAAGGCCATTTCCTTTCAAAGCAGCTGGTCTGTGGAGCTTCCTTGATACGAGGCCTTTAGGCTGCAAATTCCATCTGGCAGCAAGAAACACAACATAAAACTACTAATGAGAAGTGTATGTTTAAGAGAAAAGTATTTCCCCAAACTTTAAAGTAAGTCATTTTTTGGGAAGCATGGGTTTAACACATGCACTAAAGCTTTCACTAAACAATCCTTTTAGTAACTCATAGTATTTGTCATATTTGATACCAAAATGCCTATTTTTCTTTCCGTATCCCTGCAAATAAAATGCAGTACACCAAAGTACATCCAAATAGGACTTAGATGCGCAGTTGGCATTAAATCATACCTCATTACCTTGTGATAACGCACCGTGACATTTATCATTGGTTTGATGAATCAAAGGGCCTTAGGGCCCTGTTATATTAAATTTTATGTTGGGGTTATTATAAGCATATTATAAAATGCATAGCACTCATTTTGTTTTTCCTAAGTTTGACAGAATTCGGAAAACAGAAGTAATATTTCATGTCAAAACCACAGTTCCCTTTTGCCACTAATAAAAAGTAATCAGAACTGGAATGAGGTAAATCTACTCACTAAATATATTCCTTACTCATCTCTTTTACACATTAAGCTGCAGTCATACTGCAGTCACTTAATAGATTTTGGAGCATTCAAGGCCCATTACGAATGACTGCTGTGAATGACTTACTCCATGCTAGCACCATGTCCTTCATACACTCACATAGTACTGTACCCTACAATCAAATTCATCTGAAACACTGAGGTTGCATTGCACTGCATATATCATTGACACAGAAATAAAAGTAACTATAAGAGTTATACGTATTAAATTTTTCATCTCTCAAATAAAATTACAGCCTACAGTGTATCTGCCAAGTGGTTCTTCCTCTAATGAGCTAAAATAGGGAAAAATCATGTAAATGTAATCACTTCTCTGTTTAGGAAAGACGTAGTGAATCACAAAGTGATATGAACTGACCAAGGTTATACAGGGAAACAATGACAGGAGGAAGTAAGTCTAGATCAATGAGTCTCTTTACATCTCATCCCCGCCAACCTCTTCCAACTGCCCCATGACAGAAGAAAAAATATCCCTCTCAGTTCTCTACTCCTGCCAAACTGGAAAACAAATTGTAATTTCTCCATCGTGAAACTTACATCTTATTTCAATTCGTATGAAGTCTTTCATCCCAAGGTTTTCCAAGAATACTCCAGAGAGAGACGTAGTTTTGAAGAAGAAGGAGATGTCTGCACTGACCTCAGCATGGAAGGTTGGGAAGTGCAGGTAGGAAGCCTCTGTGTTGAAGGAAGCAGCGTTCCAGAACTGCCCTGTAAACACAACCCCCTTTCTCTATAGTTAATTGGCACAGGACAGCAGCTGTGAGCTGCATGTGGAAAGATGTCTTTCATGAGATGTGTTTAAAAAATGAAATAAAAGAAAACACAAAAATGGGAACATTCTGTACCTATGGAAATTGAGAAGAGCTAGTACTCACTGTCTCCATAGCAACGCAAAGGACCGATTTTCCAAGCAGCCTCAGAATTTGATCTGTTTGTGTCAGTGATCACTATCTGAGTTACGGGCAAATGGTCTTTGAAAGCAAGGAGGCCGGTATCATTTGTCCTGGATTATAATAAACAAACAAAAAGAGACATTAAGCACAGACAGATGCCCAGCATTCCTCATAGAAGGCAATATTTGAAAGATGCTTACTTAAGGCATTTACAGATTTACCTAGACTTGTGACCAGCACCCATTGCTTAAGATACCTATGTGCACGATTGTGCTCTTTGCTCATACACAGTGCTGACCCTGTGAAGATGCTGCATTTTGACATGGTACAAACTCTAGCTGTGTTTTAGTGTGCAGAATGATGGTAAAGAAGAGGTAGAGTGCTGTTCTTCTTTGTGATGGACATTAATGTAAAACAGACCCTAGTGGGTTTCCTCAGAAGGATGAATTTGTTGTGATGTGATATAAGCTCAATATGCATTCCTGTTAAGTTAACCAGAGACAGATAATGGCACTTTTCTGGCGTTATGGTTTGTCCTAGCAGCGGGGGAACACGAGATACCAGCTGCAGCATACTGTTAGCATGGGCAGCCAGACTATGTCTGATCCAGCTTCAAGACAGCTAGCACATAATTGACTCAGCACACTATGAAGGTGGTTGAATTGGCAGAGTGAGTACACACCTGTGAAATTGTTGTTCAGCAACTGAAACAATAAAGGCTGATTTACTGTAACACCCAACAACAGCCTTTTGTTTGTATCAGCAGTGTTTATTGCTCAGCTGTAACCTACACATGGCTGTTAAAAAGGAAGAGGAATGAGAAGATCATTTTCTGTTTAGTCTGAAAGCCCTGGGGAAACCATCATCCTTAGAATGATGCATGACATTTCATGGCAGCCCTCTGGTCCCTGAAATGATTCAGTAGCTTTGGCTCTGTGTACAGATGAGCATTCATCCCACCCTTTTTCCTGAACTTCAACGAGTCCCTCAGGCACCCAAACCTGACCTTACCAGAGCTGAAATACCCTCTGGAGATATTTTTCTATCCATTGATCATGGAAAGACAAGTGCGATTACATCTCATCTCCACAGTGACGAGCTTTTCTTCTCTCATCTCTTTTGCTCAGGCATGAAGTCTGCTGTGAATCTGGGCACGTAGACCTGTCAGACCATTGAACCAGATCTCCGTATTTTTGGAGAAAAAGGAACCCCAGCTCTGCAGATCCAAACAACCTGTATGCAGGGTCTGCTCTCACCCACATGCTCACAGGTCTAAGACTACATGGTGCACATGGGCACAGCGAGAGTGACCAGATACAAGATAACAGTAATTCCAAATTTACAGCCTCTGTTTTTTTACACAATTAAGAAAGAAAGCCTCAGGAAATAGCTTTCCCTTCTTCAATGAAACCATTGCTGAGAAGTCTGATGCCACAAGCAGGTTCCCAGATTAGCTTTATGTGGCTCAGAATGCCACCATCCACAAACATACCCCTCCTTATGGTTCCAGCTGTGGGAAGAGATGGCATTTCAGCAAAGAAACAATCAAAATGAACAACACAGCTGTGCTGTGACACACAACCTCAGGTGTTTACTTTGCTAAGTACCCTATTCTGATTAACGTTACAAGAAATAGAAGGGGCATTTTCATCTCTTTGATAAAGGCTGTAAATATTTCATTTGTTTTTCATTGTTTCTAACTGCACGCAGCACAGTTAGTTGTCTTGTAATTCCAAGGAGTAAAGTAAAGGTACTTTCTCTAAACTTAACATTTTTTTTTTTGCTTCAGGTGGTGTCTGACATCCAGTTAATTACAAAGTGCAGAAAGATGAAACTCCCACTCTACTGAAAGCAGAGAGATACATTCAATAAAGAGTAACACTGAAAGGTACCATGTATGAATTAAAAATGCACGGTCTCTAAATCTCTCTACTAAGGTCTATCATAAACATTCCCATATAGCTTACTGCATCAACCTTTGAAAGTTAATGCAAATGCTCTCAGCAGATTGTGAAACAGTTGTAACAAAAGCTGATCTGCATTTCTTAGGAGGGTAATTAAATGAGGTTTTTGTGTGCATGGAAGGAAGAAGAGTAGGCAGAATGAATGAAAGAAAGGCAGAAAGAGGCACAGAAAGAGCACATAAAATATGCAGTATACACAGGAATAACTAAGCTGGCATTTACATTAAAAAATAAAAAGATTTTTCACCATACATTCATGGGGTGTTCCTGCAAATTCATTTCAATTCAAAAAATAATGTAAACTTTTGACTAGCAGTGATCTGTATTGCAGTAAAAATCACTGTCTTCCTGCAGCTACTGCTGAAGATTCCAAAAAAAAAAAAAAAAAAAGAAAATGGTGACATTTTAAAGGTATCTATTCCACATCTCTGAGAACTGCATTGCTTATTAGATATTCCGTTATATTGCATGAAGTTCTTTTATACCGAACTTTATGACTCAGAATTTTTGCTAGTTATATGCCAATGTTACTGCAACTCCAGCAGCACAGCTCAACTGTGAGAAAGAAAAATATTCTATAACTAATAAAAATCATAACTTCTATGGTAACATCTTGGAAACTCAATCAAGTTCCTCTGAAAGCTTGAAAAGCACATTTTATGTATTTTACTCTCTCAAACATGGAAAATAAGTCTTGTGGAAGAATACATATTCTCATATAAGCAGACATAACATTTATTATAACCTTTTGAGAATGCTTTAATAATGGAAACAAAATATCTACTATTATTATTATTATCATTATTTCATGGTGAGTTTTGGGCAAAATTCAACACCTAGCACATTTCAGCTAAAGAAGTCAAAAAAGATATTTGAAGACACTATGAATTGCCTTATGGGAGCTGCAGCTGGAGTGTCTTAATTCTCAGTCTTCTTTAAAGTGAACTTATTTCAAACTCAATTGCTTGTGAAGCACCATGATTCCTTTCTCCTTAAGTGGTGCATCATGGCAGCCTCTCAAACATAGCCTATCACGTCTGAGAGAGGAGCAAGAGAGCTTTGTGTACCTGTACAATAATTTCCTGTAGGCACAACAAATACTCCAGAGTTTAGACAAAACTTTTAGATTTTGGACTGAAGAGGGTGTGGGGATTCCCCTTAAATTACTTCAGGTTTCGAGGAAAAGGTGTTGTCATTAGGTTAGAAAGCATCTGAAGGACAACATGCACACAAATTATTTTAAACAAAAACAAAACCTCATTAGATTCATTAATTTTGTGTTTGTTCCCTAAGCTAGATTTTACATAGGTGCATTTTAACACTTCATATATACTTAAAAATGCAAAGGACTTCTTCAATAAGTTATGAGAAGTGTTAATCAAATTTTCTTCATATAAAAAGTATATTCATTGCAAATGCAACAATATCAAAAATGAGAGTGCAGCATCTGCATACATTCAATCACAGAACAGGTAGTCCTACTTGTAAACGATGAATAACTGTTTTGATAGCATTTTTCTTTTTCCTGCATGGTAATAAAAGGGTACTCCAAAAGTTCCCATTCTGTGGTATACTGACAGCATAAACTATCATAAATTGGTAACCTCAAAGAAGCTGTTTCCCTATTTTTTTCAAACAGATGGCAGAGCAGCGGTGCCACTAAATGTAATTTCTTCTTATACGACCCCCTATTGGTATGTTATCTTTTTGTACAGTAATGAAAACTCTGGTGGGGTCTGAGCTTCAGTCGCTCAGATATTCAGGACAGATTTTCATGAATAGAGTGTATTTGGGAAAAAGAATACTATCAGCAGCAGATGTCAATGAACAGGATTACGAATGAGCGAGAAAAACAGGTTTCCCTCAGAGCAAGGTTTGAATGTTGTGTGGGACAGATCATAATACAAAGGAATAAATTTTAGTTACTATCTTGCCCATCTGATGCATCCGAAATGCTTTTTTTGAGTAAAATAACATAAAAGGCCATTAAATAAAGAACAGCAGCAGACATGAACGTATGTAACTGGTGAAGACAAAATGCAGTTGCTCCTGGAATTAGAAAACAGGAAAAGAGAGTTTGGTAATGATAATAATGAAATGATTCCTATCACCTCAAGGGGCCTGCTACAGTCAGCTCTCCACAGGCAGCTTTTCTACTTTGTTGACAAATGCAGCTGTGAAGGCAGATATCCAAGACAGCTTTATACAGGCTGGGTCATGTCTGTCAGGGTTTATTTATGAGCCTATATGCAGTGTTCTGTGGAGCTGCCTATCCTGCTTCTGAGGCAGGGGAGTCAGCATGGGATAGTGCATAAGCAAACAAAACCTCTCAAAACCAAGCTCATCAGCAGCTGAGTTTCTTTGTCTTGCTCTCCTCAGCCCTTTCAGTTTTAGCATCCCAGTTCTGGCAACGGCTCTGTACAAATACAAAGCATAATGAATATGTGTTCTTTTGGAAATGTGAAGACTGAGGCTTAGTTTCCCAGTGAAGATGTCTGCTCTAGAAGGTACTGGAGGAGGATATTTCTATACCAGTTTATTGTATATAGTTCTACATAGGGGACTTCTGTAATTTGAAAATTAAGACTAGAAAATTAAGTAAAAGATGGCCAATCCATTGTTGGTCATAATCAACAAGTGCCCACTCACCACACTCTTCTGAGACATCTGAACTTCCTGTACAAAAGACTTCCACAGCATTTTTTCTATACAAAGAAAAAAGCCAAAAAGTTCCCCAAATTCACTAGGTTTGCCATTGAATTCAGTTGGCAAGAAATACATCTGGTTTGATGATTGTCTTCAATCAAATGGTTGCATTTGAAGTCAAAAATGGTCTCAGTGTCCAGAATCCACGTAGCGGACTTCAGAACAGTAATGCGCCAACACGACATGAAAGGGATTCCTCCCATTTAAATGAAAGGCTTGGTGAGCAGGTCTTTTATTGCCAAAGCAAGAGAATTTTGCTTGAGATGAAAGACAGTGTGGGAAAGTTAAGGATCTAAAGATCTCTGGAAGGGACTAAAGATAGTTCAACTCTCCATGCTTTTCATAAATGCTTTATTCTTTAGATCAGTTTAATACCTTTCCCCAAGTAATGCCTGCACCAAGAACACACCTTCTTTTTGAAATAGTCCATAGCTTTTAGGAAGCTAGTCACTTTTAAGGGAAACACTTGAAGCAATGGCAAATCCAGCTCACCTATACATAACTTGTTTCAACAGCTAACTATTCTCATTGCTGGGAAGGTGATAGAGCAAAAGAAAATATTTTTTGGACTAGTTTTAATTTCATCTTGCAGCCACTCAGTGAATTTTCCCATCCACTAGCAAGAGCTTTCAATAGTCAGGACTCTCTTTTTTGAAGATACGCATAAACTACAGAATGGTCACATTTAGCATCTTCCCAGATCCCTTACTTGGGGTCAGGGTGCCAGTTCATGCCTCTGCTCCCCCGGCAGAGGTGGTCTCTCATTCTCTAGTAAAATACCACAATACTGCTCTAGTGTTCTGCAGTGACAGAATTAGCTGTCATCATACTGGAGTTTGGAAGCAGTATGGCAAGAAGTTAGGATCTAGATGGAAAAACGTACTTTTCACTAAAATGATTTAAATTAAAAAAGGAAAAAATGCAAAAGCCTTCCTCATATATAATGCAACTAATTACATTCCTGTTCATCTGACTGGCATAACTCCAGGGAGACTAACATAAAGCAGGAGACTGGAGTTGGCAGCTGGGCTCAGGTGTCATTTAAAAGTCAGCATGCCTAGAAGTGCATATTCTGTTCTGCCAAACACCTGGCTCAGGACTTCTTTCAGATTTGTTTTCTCATTTTCTGTTTCTTTTGCTGCTCTGAGAAATTTGTAGGTTCTTCTGCATGAAGACAGTCTAAGGAAAGAAAGTCTTCAGCCTTCTCAGCTTCGGAAGGATGCTTCAGCCATTCTGGTGAATTTCTACCTCTGAGCAGCCCTGAGCAGCCTGATTTATCTAAAAAGAGCTAAAACAATTTTCTGGTTTTCCACTCTGTAGCACTCATTTTATTTCATGCTAAGGCAAATAAATACATCTACTACTTGTACCTTCCAAGATAATGTATAGCGGGTTAAAGTCACAGTTCAGATCTCAGCAGGTTTCAGATTCAAATGCTCATTATATATCAGGGAATCAGTGTTCAAGCAGAGAAATAGAAAAGTAATCTTCAAAAGGCATGAAATTTCTTATGTTTAGAAACTTTTTTCAAAGATCTTGGGATTTCTAGGTTTTAAACAAGCAACCTGCAACTTAGAATACCACCCAACAGATGACCAGACTTCTAATGGATTAAAAAAAGAAAAAAGAAAAAAAAAGAGAAACCCAAGAAAAGACATCTGTCCTCCCAACAAACACTAGGGTAGTTTAGCTAAGGAAATATCTACGTGTGTCCTGATATCATCAAGAAATTAGGAGAGATGAGAAACTCTGTGAGCAATCAAGATAGTGAACCCTGACATGTAACATCCTTGTCTCATGAGGGTTTTCCAAAATTTAATGTGAGCATCTAAGTATAGGCTTATTGTTCCTTAACTTCTTTCTTGTGGATTTTAATTGTTTTTTTCCCCTTAACCTGGCATACTTTTTCATAGAATATGTAATTTTCTCCTCTGTTAAATATGTTTGAAAAAGTGTTTGCCTGTTCAAAATCACTGTGGGGATAGAGATAAACACATCCAGCATAACTTGCTTAGGCTTCATTCCTTAGGAGAAATGCTATAAAACTGCATCTAGCCTTCAGCTAGCATTTGCTGCTATGATCCTGTAGTGCACTGTCCTGCAATCTCAGATTGCCACCACAGTACAGTCTAGAACAGCAGCTCACCAAATAAAGAAAAACGTGGATGACACAATCAGAAACTGTGTAAATCAGCTGCTTTTGATACTCATGTACAAACCTCATGAAGTGTTTTTGGTAATCAAACATTAAAGAAAAGATAGATCAACGTGCACAGTGGAGCCTATCTAAACAAACTGATACAAATCACATTCATAAACCAACATTTACATAAAGAGCTTCTACAGAAATCCCTACAACTATGATTTTTGACACTGAAAAGTGACTCTGGGGATATAAGATGCCCAGATGAATAAGCACTTTGTCTGGAAATGAGGCCTTATTGCAAATGCCACACAGTGAGTAACAAAAAAGCCTAAGACTTAAAATGACAAGTCATTTCTGACTTTTTTGTTTGTTGGTTTGAAACATCTGGGCACAAGAAAGCTCTAAACCCAAGGAAGGCTTTGAGTCTTGGTGTCATAAGTCTAAAACTTCTTATAGAGACTGAAGCATAACCTACAGCAGCCAAAGGAAGTTTTTCCATTGACTTTAAAAAGCTTGGATCTCAACCTAAAAGAAAATTTAGGAAAATACAGATATGCTGTTTTGTAAGAGAAATATAAGCTCTTCTGATAGTACAGATTTCTTGTTCTTTGACTGTCTGTACCTGAATTTTGCAGTCTATGCCTGAAACTTCTGCTGTCACATATCATCACGCACCAACTTCCTATAGCTTTTATTCATGCAGTGCTGCGACTGAATCACTGGAAACTTTCAAAAAAATAAAAACCCTGGAATTGACATTTAGCAACAAATGTTTTTGAGGACAACCCATCCCAGAAATCTTCTTTAACCGGATATTATGTCATTAGTTCAAAGAAGAAAAATAAGCAGAAATCAGAATTCAAATTCTAGTTTGACTTTCCTTCTAATTTGTTTACACTCAAACCATTCAGATTTCCCCAGACATAGAAAAACAGAAGATTTAATCCTTCTTGCCCTGCTTCCTACCCGCAGTTGTCACACCGACACTACACCACACACGTGTGAAAATTATTACCATTCTTCTCTATCTGCGTCACAGTTGCAAAAATATCTCATATCCAGACAACTTTCTTCGAGTCCACATGCACACTGCTGAATGCCCGGAAGTGATCCTCCCCAGTAAAGATGCTTTTCATTGGCACGTCCAACCCACCAAGCAAATGGTATTCCATCTGGATGAAAGGTACAGAAGGAGGAAAAAAAGAGAAAAAGAGAAAGAAAGAATTTGATAAGCAAATTGGATTCTCTTGAGAATGAGAAAGAGAATGGAAGTGGACGTGTTAAATAATATTGAAAGAAAAGATGCAAACTTTAGAAATAACAAACCATAAACTTTGCCCAAATTCTATTTTAATGAATACATGTTGGGAAAAGAGTAGCTTTATGGTAATACCGTTTGGTTTGAGGAGCAGACGTTTTCCTCACAAGGCTTACGTGCCGATTGACCCTGAGAATTTTGGTGCATTTCAGCTGTAAGGATTTTTGACACGCAATCCTAACATCACTGTCTGCATCACCTCTATCCAGAGTTTGCATGATGCTAGAGCAGAGACCTCATCACTGAAGGAGTCTGAAAGCAATTCTAACATGAAATCACACTACACAGCTATCTTGAACCACCCAGTACTGACCAAAGACTTCTTGCAAAACTGGCCAGTCGTGAAGTAAATTCCAGCTCTTAGAATGGGATCTTTACGTTAAAATCATATACAATGCGCAAAAATCTTTTGAAATAACACAAATTCTCATCTATTACTATGAGTTTAATTCAGCTCCTCTTGAAACTAGAACAAAAATTTTATCAGTTTCTAGTGGAGCAGGACTTGGGATTTTAATATGCTTTCCAAGGGTGAAATTTGCTAATGCAAATTAATGCTCTGTGAGACATTCAAACATTCTGGATTAAGGACTCAGGTAGGAGATAAGAGTGGAAAAAGATTTCCCTACTTATGAATTATCTCTATGAAACTATTTTCCATCTACAGGAGCTCTATGTATTTATATAAACCAAAATAGTTTTTGTTTAAATTTCATAATTTCTTATACATCAAACATCCAATATTAATAGATATATCAAGCAGATTCAGATACAATTAAATCCTCAAATTAACATTTTTCTAAAATTGAATTTGTCTTCCAGCTCAGATAACTTTTCATTGACTTCTTAATCCTTAAATCAAGAAATGTAATGAATTACATTGTATAGGTAGATGGTAAAAATTAGCTAAATTGAAATATCAAGACTTTCTGATCACAGGTGCTTCCAAAAATAAAATGCAAATCTAATGTAGAAAAATGTATCAGTATGTTCTTCTGCTCTACTAACATTATTAGTAGGCAGCATTCCTCATTATACAAAGCAAGAAAGTGTAAAATATGAAATGCAATCAAGGCTAACAGTAGATTCCAAGAGACTAATTAAAACGAGTTTTAGAATCATATGGTAAAATTAATTCATATTTGTTTTCCTTCCAAGCTTAGGCTGCTGAACTGTAAACTCATGAAAAAAGGAAAATAAAAATAGGAAGTAACTCCATTCTCATGATACAAACAATTAAAACAAGAAGATTCTGACCAATATGCGGTGATACTCATTACAAAACCATAATCCTAGAACATCTAAGGATTCATCATACAAAAGTGTGCACAATCATTTTCTGTTTCATATTACTGTCAACACAAAGAATGTTTTTATTCTTTTCCCTTTAGCTGTTGTTGCGTAAGTTGATTGTTGTGGCCAGTGAAACAGTTTACTATATTATTGGGAAATTACTTGATAAAGCTTGGAATAGTAACCTGTACTGAATGAGAGAATTGTTTGTCAATTTTTCATTATTTGCTTAAATTGTACCCAATAACGTCCTATTTAGTAAACAAACAAACAAACAATGAAGTAAAACCACTATGGAATAAATAAAAGTACAATTTCCTATGCATTTTTGTCTATTTAGAGCTGAAGAAAAATCAGTTATAATAATTATTTTAAGGCTGTCTTTGAACTTCACACCATGGTACCAAAGGAGAAAATGCGTGGAACAATCCCAAACCAAACAAAGCAAACAAGCCTTAAGTGACCAAGTTAATCTCTAAGAAAACTAGAAAATAGTTTCTTACAAGTTATTCCTCCTCACCTGCTCAATTTGCTCACTGAAAAGTTGGCATAGGTTTTTTGAAAGGAAAGAGTAAGAGGTCTTATCTTCAGTTGACCATCTTGATGTTTTTTTCTATCTCTACAGTCTTGCTGCTCTTTGCATCTACTGATTTATTCAACAGCTACTAAGCATCCAGATGCCCAAGTAAGATTGAAAACCTTGTTATATATACACATACCCTGGCATACTGAAGCACACAGACAAAAACTCAATTTTCCCCCATCCTGAGAGGCACAAAGTAAGCTCCTTTCAGATACCAGTTCTTCAGCAGATTGCCACTATCTGCTCTATCAGTGTGCTTAACTGCACAGTTCACTGTTAGTTCTACAGAATGTATTTCACCCGAAGCAAAATTGGAGCAGTCAGTACAGATCATGAGCGCAGAGGCTGAGGACTATGAGGACAATAGCAGTGAGACACGTGTAGGTTGTCTCTAGTGATCCTTAGAAGGAGATGGGTCTTGAGATTAAGTTCATTTGCATCGTGTATTGCTCTTCTAGTCATGAGAGTGGCTGAGCACATACTGGGATTAGGTGTCCCTCTAAAAAACTTACTAGAAAATGTCTGTTCATTTAAATCTCTGTTGTAGTGACAGTTCTCCCTTCTTTCTTTCTTTCTTTCTCTATTAGAATACATTGGTATTGCTAGAAATATGAATTATTTTAAAGGTTTTAGGTTTGTTCATGTTTGAATAGCAGAAGTTATTTCAAAAATATTTTTGTATAGACACTCAGAAGCTGGAGGATGGGGAAAGCAGCATATTGAAACAGCATTTTGCACTAAATTACAGTGTATATTGATCCCTAGCAACTTACATGGAGACAATTTACTTATATATAGGCAGAAAGTCTTGCCATTGACTTTTATGTTTATAAAGCATGAGTTAAAATAAGCCATGTGTTTTTAACAGTATTATATTTTGAATATTTTTCAAGATTTGTCGGCATCGTTTGCCAGGTAGCTCTTGTTATTGCTACAAACAAAAATCTAATGATAGAAATATAACAAGATAAAGTATATTCCATGTTAAAGTCCTGTGCTGTACAAACTGAAAATCCATCTCCAATAATGGCATATCCTAACACAGAGAAGGCTTCTAGGGTTATCCAAGATATTAAAACAAGTCAGTTTAAGGTTTTTTCAACTACCACAGCAAGCCAATTTATTTGTATGCATTTGAACTATTGAAACCAACCATATTGTACTGAAACAACATTCTTTTGGCAGTCTTATGTTCAGTTTTCTCTCTGAAGTCACACTGAGTTCAGCAGAGAACTGAATTAAATCTGATGTTTACATATCCTATCAATAAAAAAATAGACTAAGTTACATCTATGCTGTTTTCTCTTAAGTGGAAAACACATCAACAATGAAAACTGGAAAAATATTGATTGTTGAATAGAATAAAGCAATTGAAGGCAACTGGCTGCTAGCAGTCAAGAATATAAAATGTCTGTTTGCATCAACCGCTTCAACAGCATCAAAACCTCACCCAGTATCTTGTATGTCACATGAAATGATTAGTTAGTAGACATATACGCATACACACTGCAATGCCAACCTGAATAACTTAATCCAAAAACCAATTCAGAGGCCAAGTTATGCACCCAGCTGATCCATTCTTAAAAACCTCTCAAAAGAAGAGGAGAAAGTACTAAGAGAGTGAGAACAAAGAAAAATTCCAAAGATGTATTTTCTAAGATCTTACCATGCTTCTGATTTGTTTCCATTGCAACATATCCCTAGCCTAAACTGCAATCTAAGTCAGCCCCTTTGACCTTTTCAGCAGGAAAAAAAAAAAAGAAGAAATGTTTACAATAATTTTGGTCAAAATTTTGGATAAACTGGAGAATTATTCTACATTGAATGAATAATGCAAAATAAAAATTTGTATCAGCTATCTGCTCCACAAAGAAGTCTACAGTACTAATGACTCAACCTGCGTTGGTTTGAACAACAGTTCAGAACACTGGGAGAATATACTTCTAATACACAGTGATAGGAACTTGGGTTGTGCTGCATTTACTAGTATATTCTGTCTCTTCTTGAAGGAGGTTCTGGGAATTAATGGTGAAAAAACTGCTCTTTGGTTTTACAGACCCTTGTGAGATTCTTGTGGCTCTGCTGCAGCAGGTAGAAAGCAGCATCTTTTTCTGAGGTGATACTGAGTTTTCTGCATATCACAACAAAAACCCTATTTTTAACTTAAGGTCTTGGAAAACAATAATGTATTTAATATGATGCACGGAAAAAAATCCCCCAGTGACATGATTCCTTTGAACATTGTTCACTGAGCCACCAGATCGTCCAAATACTTTTGTACCATACTACGATGCTGCTATATGACACATGCTTGTTTTATGCTTTCTCCCTCTCTTTTCAGTAGATCTATAATGTCCAATTAATACTAACTCCATTTTACCCACAAGTTCCCCATGCCAACTGTACAAGTAGGTTTTACTGTCCTTTATCCTTCTTTAAACAGACACCCAAATACCATTGTCTTGATTTTCAGAGACAACAAATGCAACCGTGTTGGAAACCATATGAGGTCAAAACACAGCAGCAGTACAGATGCCGTTCTACACCGAATAGCAGTGCTGCTAGACAATGTTATTAAGATTTCCACTGAATTTGACTTCAATTTTTGGCCACATCCTGTAATTCTTATTCAGAGCAGCTATTGTAAACTGAAGCAGTTCTGCTAATGACAGAGGACCTACTCCCTTAGAAAATGTTACTAAGTCAAAAAATCTGTCCCTAATTTATTTATTTTTTAAAGTGTGGTTAGAATGAAAAGAAAAAAAGGCAGTACTTTGCTGACTTTTTCCTTTCTCATTATTCAGCTTTGTCGCCAAGGTACACTGCTATTATACAGTTTCAGGCTAAAGTAATCCCTTAAAGAAAACAAACAAAACAGTAGCATTTGTCCTCTTCTCTCTTTGGAGCAGCTGTTATCACAGCGCTCTTCCTGAAACTGTTAAGGTATTTTCACAGATGAGAATGGACAAAAAGAATGT